TGCATTGCATCTATAGGTCAGTTTAGGAGTATTACCATCTTAATAATGTTAAATTTTTTGACCCATGAACATAAGATGTTTTCCCATTTATTTAGATCTTCTTTAATTTATTTCAACAATGTTGTGTGGTGTCTAGAGTATAAGTTTTACACTTATTTTGTCAAATTTATTCCTAAGTATTTTTTTGAAGCTACTATGAATGAAATTGTTAATTTCATATTTTGGATTGTTCATTGCTGATTTATACAAATAAAACTGACTTTTGTGTTGTTTAATACCTTGTACCTTTGCTGAAGTCATTTTTAGTTCTAATAATTTTAGGTGAATTTCTTAGGAATTCCTATGTAAAAGATCATGTGATCTACAAATAGAGATGATTTCTGCTGTTATAGTCTGGATGCCTTGTTTTTTGCTTTTTGGTTTTTGGGGGGCGGAGGTTTGTTGTTGTTGTTGTTGTTGTTATTTTGCCTAATTTCCCTGACAAGAGTCTAGTAAAATGTTGAGTATAACTTTTAAGAGTGCACGTCATTGTTTTTTTCCTTGTTCCTTCTTTTCATAGAACTTCTTTTAACATCTTTTGTAAGACAACACATTATTACTAGCAACAAACTCCATTTTTGTTTAACTGGTAAAGCCTTCATCTTCCCTGTATTTCTGAAAGATAGCTTTGCTGGATATTGGATTCTGGGTTGGCATTTTCTTTCTTTGAATACTTGGAATAGTTATCTCATAATAACTGCTGAGAGGTCAGTTATTAACCTTAATGCAGTTCCTTTATAAGTGACGTTGTTTTTTTTCCTTGTTACTTTCAAGATTTTTCTGTTGCTTTTGACTTTTACCATTTTTAGTATGATGTGTCTGTTTGTAGATCTTTTTGTGTTTATTCTGTTTGGCGTTTGAAGAGCTTCCTGGATGTGTAAGTTATTGCTTTTCAGCTTCCTGGATATGTAAGTTACTGCTTTTCAAAAATTTAGGACATTTTCTGCAATTTCTTTGAGTATTTCTTCTCTTTTCTTGCTGTTCTTTTCTTTTGGTAGTTCTCTTACTATATGTTTGAGCACTTGTTGGTGTTCTACATTTCTCTGAGGTTCTGTTCATTTTTCTTCATTCTTTTTTCTTTGACATTTTTCAGCTTTCATAATCTCAGTTGCTCTTTTCACATTTGCTCTTTTTTTTTAAGATTTTTTTTATTTATTAGAGAGAATGAGAGAGAGAGAGAGAGTGAGAGCGCATGAGAAGGGGGAGGGTCAGAGGGAGAAGCAGACTCCCTGCCAAGCAGGGATCTAGGGAGTCCAGGATCATGACCTGAACTGAAGGCAGTCGCTTAACCAACTGAGCCACCGGGCGCCCCACATTTGCTCTTTTATTTTTTTCCTGCCAGTTCAGATCTACTCTTGAGCCTCTCTAGTGAATTTTTTATTTCCGTTATTATACTTTTTAACCCCAATTTTTCTCTTTGGTTCTTTTTTGTAATTTCTTTTGCATTATTAATATTCTCTGTTTTGATGCAACTTTGTTTTCATACTCTCTTTTACTTTTCTATAATCATGCTTTCCTATACTTCTGTGAACATGTTTATAACGGCTACTTTCAAGTCTTTTGTTGTTGTTAAATCTGACATATGATTGCTCTCATAGGGAATTTCTGTTGCCTGCTTTTTTTCCCCAGTGTATGGGTCATATTTTCCTGTTTCTTTGTACATCTCCTTGTAGTTTGTTGGAACTGAACATTCTAGATATTTATATTGATAATTTAATTTATTTTACTTACTTAATTATTTTTTTAAAAAGTAGATTCCTTGCCCAACATGGGGCTTGAACTTAGCCTGAGGTTGACAGTCACATGTTCTACCAAACTAAGCCAGCCAACCACCCCTTGATATTTTAGATATTAGACATTATATATTGTAGATGTAGACGTTATATATTGTAGGTAGACACTGGTCTTGTACCTTCTCAATGTGTATTTTTTTTGTTGTTATTTACTTTATTCAATGTTGTTTAGTAACTAGGTCACTTATTTTAGTGAAGTAATCTTCTGATGCTATTGCTCAGGGAATCACAGCTCTCGGTATGCCCACAGTTGTTCTGAGAAGACAGTGATTCTCTCCTGCTCTTTCTCTGACCACACCCAACTGTCAAACTACATTAACTGCTCTATTGTTTTCAAAAGTGTCTTGGAGTCTTAAGTTGCTTTACGAACTAGTTTAAATTGTAGCTTCTTTGAAGGAGTAGTTTCAGAGGTGTATTTGTTCCGACCACAGGAGGGTTCCTCCCAGCTTCATTATACCTCAGTTCTCTCCTGCAAGCTATCTTGGCCTCTTGTCTTGAATGTTGTTTGTTTGTTTGTTTGTTTGAGATTTTATTTATTTGAGAGAGAGAGCAGAATGAGAGAAGACATGAGCACGGGTGAAGGGCAGAGGGGGAGGGAGAAGTAGACTCCCCTCTCAGCAGGTAGCCCTACTCGGGGCTCAATTCCAGGGCCCCGAGATCATGATCTGAGTGAAAGGCAGATGCTTAACCAACTGAGCCACCCAGGTTCCCCAAATGTGTTTTTCTTAAATCCATAAATTTTCTTCCAGTTGCTGCATCCTCAGCTGTTCTTGAGAGCTTGAACTTCTCCATGTGGTATTACAAATGAAGTCAGTTCCTTTGGGAAGAGATTACAGACTACCTGTTTTATTATCTATTTCTACTCTCAGGCAACTCTGGAGCTCTTCTCTGAATGACACTGCTGCTCTAGAAGCTTGAGCATTCAGTGAAGGCAAGGGTGGGAGTGTGGGCAGCAACCTGATAACCTCTTGGCTTGCTTCTCTAGAGCCACCACCTCACAAGCCAGGGCAGTGGTGATTAGGATTCCAGTTTTTCAGTAGAGTTGTGCCCAAAGTATAGCCTTTGTTCCATAAGTTGGGGGCTTGGCCAAAGAAGGGAATGCTCACTTCTTGACATCACTTGCCTGGGGCTTAGCAGTACCTACCTGGGGGCAGGACAAGGTAAACTGAAGTCTTGGGGCTCCTCAGAAGAAAACCCTCCAACAAGGAGTTCAATAAGAGGAAACCTTGTGTTCTTGACTACAGCAGTCTGGAGAGGAGTCTGCTTCACTCGTAGTGGGTAGGGACAGACAGGTCTTAGTTTAAATACCACAGGTCTCTCCCTTTCTTTCTTTCTTTCTTTCTTTCTTTCTTTCTTTCTTTCTTTCTTTCTTTTTAATGATTTTATTTATTTATTTGACAGAGATCATAAGTAGGCAGAGAGGCAGGCAGAGAGAGAGGAAGGAAGCAGGCTCCCTGCTGAGCAGAGAGCCTGATGAGGGACTCCATCCCAGGACCTTGGGATCATGACCTGAGCCAAAGGCAAAGGCTTAACCCACTGAGCCACCCAGGCGCCCAGATCTCTCCTTTCTTACTGAATTTTTCTTTATATTCTTAAATAATTTTTTCCTCATTTGTCCTTGGGACTATTTCCTGAGCTTCTCATTGGTATCATTTTACTAGTTCCATTGGGTTAGCAGATTAGCAGAGCTCCTCATGCTCTCTTGTCAGAAATTGATCTCTGAATGGTTTTTGTTTTTAATTGAGATATAATTGGCATATAACACTGTATTAGTTTTCGGTGTATAACATAATGATTTGATTGATATATATATATGTATTATTAAATAATCACCCCAACAAGTTTAGTTAACATTTATCACTGAACAGTAACAAATTTTTTTTTTATTTCTGATGATGGGAACTTTAAAGAGGAATGGTTTTAAATACATTGTAATTATCTTTTTTTTTATAGGGCTGTGGAATTGTTCTGTGAAACTATCTGGGCCTGCTATTTATTGGTGAAGGGGGAGGAGTTCCTTAAATTTTATTTTAAAGAAATTTGTTTATTTAGGTCCCTGTCTTTTCTGAAGTCCGTTTTGATAACTAATATTTTTCTAAATAATTATCTATTTGATCTAAATTTTCAACCTATTTGCATAGGACTGAGCAAAGTAATCTCTTATGATTCCATTAAGTTTTTTCTGACTGTGGTTATTGGGGGGGTGGATGTACTTCTTTTTATATGTCTTAGGATTATTATAATCCACTAATGAGGTAATACTGGAAAAATTTTTTTCCCTACAACTTGTCTGGTTATGATTTATTATAATCAGGGTTTCTTTATTTCTACAATAATAGTGCCTTATTAAATTCTTGCTGTGTATTAGGCACTTTACAATTTTGATTTACTTAATCTTTATAACAATCCAAGAATGTATATACTGATAGTATCTTTATTTTATGGATGAGAAAATTGAGCTATAGAGAAAATAATTTGTTCAGTTATGCCTAGGTGATGATCATAGTTTTAACTTCTTAGTTGGCCTACAGAAATTTAAAATTATTTAAGGTTGTTAAATAAATAGATGTATTTACTTCCTAATGTCTCAACCTAAATCACTATCCAAAAAGTATAATTTTTAGTTGTCTATGACAATATACTCCATCCCATGGATTTTTTCAATGAAGTTAGTGGGGTGTAAAGGGTTACCAAATTTTCCTTCCTCAGTTAACAATTAGTACTTAAATTTGTAGTTAGCATGAGGGATTCGTTTTATTTTTTATTTTACTTTTTTTGAGAGCTTTCTTTTAAATGGATATTTTATATTTGGAGAGTCAGTGTAACAATTAAAACATTTAAATAAAAATTTTGAAAAACGTAAGAAAAATCCACATCATTACACTAATTTGGTTTGAAAGCTCTTATTTGACATGATCATATACAAAAAAATTTTTAAAGAAATTATTAATAGTTTCTGTAATATCTTAATTATATTCTTGAATGAGAGAAGTTAGGAAAGATAGGAATTTAAGGAATAAAAATTGAGAGTGTCATCATTTTGAAAAAAAAAACTTCCTGTTTAGGCAAGACTGAGTAAATATGTGTAACTACTGCCCTCTTGGGTTGGTATAAGGAACATGTTTTTCAAAATAATCTGTGTTGAGATTTCTCTTTCTTCTTTTAAAGGTGTTAAAATCATCACACAACAAGTTCAACCAAGTAAAATCTTACCCAAACCAGTGACAGCAACTCTGCCCACCAGTAGCAATTCCCCTATTATGGTGGTTAGCAGTAATGGTGCAATTATGACAACTAAACTGGTAACCACTCCTACTGGTAAGTTTTCTTGAGCGTCAGTCCATTCATGCATCATTTATTTATTGAGTAGTTTCTTTGTATCAACACAGTGCTTGACACTGGGAATGTAGGGATTAATGACAGTTCTTTAAGAGGCTTTCCCTCCAACTAAAATTAGCTTTCTTTTATTATTGTCATGGTCTTCTGTTTTTTTTACTTTATAGGTATTATCTTAATCATCTTCATCTTCTCATTTCTTTGATTATTTGTTGATTTACTGTAGTTCACCTTGTTAGACCATAAGCTCCATGATAAGGGGCATCTTTGTTTTATTCACCATATATATGTTGAGCTGGTCTGAAAGTAGGTGTTTAGTCAGGATTTGTTGAGGGACCGAAAACATACTCTCTCAGCCCAGAAGGATTGTACTCTTAGGAGGTTGAAAGTCTATATTACATTGTGGTGTAGTAAGCATTACTCTGACTGAGAGATGCACAGGATGCCTTTTTGCCCAGATATGAGAGCACCCAGGCTATGTCCAAGGAAGTGACAGTGTAGAACATTTTTTTTTTTTAAAGATTTTATTTATTTGACAGAGAGAGAGAGATCACAAGTAGGCAGAGAAGCAGGCAGAGAGAGAGAGGGGAGGAAGCAAGCTCCCTGCGGAGCAGAGAGCCCGATGCGGGGCTCCATCCCAGGACTCTGGGATCATGACCTGAGCCGAAGGCAGAGGATTTAACCCACTGAGCCACCCAGGCACCCCCAGTGTAGAACATTTTAAATAGTACCACCCTTTGTATCCTTGAGCAGTTTACTAATCCCTCTAAGTCTTTTCTCTTGTCTATTAAATGGGATAACAATACCTGTACCATAAGGTTATTGTAAGTATTAGAGGAAATCAGGTATGTAAAGTCCCCAGCAGAGTAATAACTGTTATTATTAATTAACGTAAGAATTACCTATTACTATTATTTTAAATTTGTATAACTCTTACCAGATTTTTTGAGAAGGGTCAGTACGTAGATGATAGAATCTAAATAATGTAAAATGATACCCATCTCAAGTTTATAAAGCTATCATTTATTGGCCAGGATGTAAAGGTCTATGCAAACATTACACTTAATCTCCCTTAGGCTGATATCTCCACTTTTAGCGGCAAAACAGAGACTGATGTAAAGCAACTTGCCCAAAGTCATGCAGCCAATAAAAGGAAGATCTGGGATTTGAACCCCAATCTGTTTGACTCCCTTTTTTTCTTTTAAATTGTGACAAAAATAGAACATGAAATTTACCATTTTAAGGGTATAGTTCATTGACATTCAGTGTCGTTCATATTATTTTATACCTATCAATCACCATCAGGCTTCAGAACCTTTTCATCTTCCCAAACTGAAACTCTACACATTGAACAGTAACTCTTCATTACCACCTTCCCCTAGTCCCTGCCAGCCAGCATTCTGCTTGCTGTCTCTGCAAAGCCTGTGTTTAAAAACATGGTATTCTTGCATTAAATTTATCATACTCCACCCTCCTCGCCCCCTGCCCCAAACTTTTTTCCATTTGGTACAAAGATAATAGTGTTATCTATATATGATTCTTTACCTTAGGGAAAGGTAGTAAAAATAATAATGTGTCTGTGCCTTTGTATCTATGTTAGAAATGGTGTTTCTATTTTTAAAACAAAAGCTTAAGTGGAAAATGTTTTGTTAAAATTCAGCTGATTCACATTATGTTTGTAGCATGTTTACTTTGCACTAGATTTTTTTGAGGGGGATTCAGATGTATGTTTGTAACCAGTTTAAATTAATTCTACCTAATGTTCTTTGTTTGAGTTGTGATTGTATTAAAAATTTTTTAAATATCTTGCTAAAAGCATTTTTGCAGGATAACCATTGAAAACGGTTATCACGATGACCATGAGAAAGCATGAAAAAATGCTTTCCTGTCAAAGAAGGTATTATCTTAATCATCTTCATTCTTCCCCAGACTAATAGTTCTTAGTGCAAGAATAGTATTTCTGAGTTACTGAACTTGTAGGAAACTATGACAGGCTCATCTGATTAGTTTTTAATTCCTGTTTGAGAAAAGAAGTCCTTAGGAGAGTGGGCAAGAGTGCAAAATCCTTTGAGAGACATGAAGAAAAATATTCTAACAGGTCAGTTAGAGAGTTGAGGAAATATGTAAATAGTGAACTTTTTTGGCTAGAAGAAATATTTCTGGCAACTCGGCAGCTTCAACTTTAATCTCTAGTAAAATGATGGAATAATTCTTTTAAAGATGGAAATATATTTAGAGAGTAGCAGAGTACAAAATAGTAAAAGTTTATAAAATTTTAAGCAAACAATACTGCCTTATTTGCTGAGTGCTGACATTGGGTTTGGCACTGAGACAGCATAAAACAGATGCAGAGACCTTAAAATCTATAACAGAAATATCTAAAGTGCTCTGGCAGGGAAGATGATTAAATTTAAGTTTCTTTTGGCATAGAACTAGTGGAAGAAGGGTAGTGGAAGAAAGGAACATAGTTACTTGTACTTTTTCTTGAGCTTAGTAATTTGATGCAACACATCACAAAATTTTATGTGTAAAATTAATTCAAATTGACTTGGCCTTAGTTATTGCTATGTGCATTGAAAACTGGCTATAAATTGTTACTTAATGTCTTGACACCTTGAAATTCCTTTTTCAAGTTAAAGCAATGTAGATTACATTGAATTATAGCTGAACTGTATAAATTGTCATTCTTCTATAAGTAACGACAAGTTTTTCTTTGGCTTTTCCCTTTTTATAGGCACACAGGCAACCTATACCCGGCCAACAGTGAGCCCGTCCATAGGTCGGATGGCTGCAACCCCTGGAGCTGCAACTTACGTGAAAACTACCAGTGGTAGCATCATTACAGTTGTACCCAAGTCATTAGCCACCTTGGGGGGCAAGATAATTAGCAGTAATATAGTTTCTGGTAGGTATATCTGAAATATGTTAAAGCTATAGGTAACTTGTAAGAGGAAAAAGCTTTTCACTGTTGAAGGATTCTTTTTGATCTGTTTTCTGCTTACGATTCTGGAGCTTTATTTTTAGTCCTGATGTTTAGTGATTTTAAGTCTAGTTTTTTATTTCTAGTATTAAGTTTTCACACATTAAGTTTTTTATTTTAAAATAGAACATTTAGTTGTTTTTCATCAGAATAAAAATACTGTGATTTACATTTGTATTGCGATTTTTCATTTACTAAGTATTCTCCCATTTGTCAGTCCTTTCAGAGCTGATAAATTCAAATAGTTGGCATCACCCCCAGTTGACAGGTACAGACAGATGGAAGTTTAGAGAAATGAGATTGACCTGTCGAAGACCACACACGCTAGAGAGAGGAAGACCCTTTTTTTATAGAATAATCTTATTTTCCTATTCTTTTAAATGTATCTTGAGAACTCTGCCCCCACTTAATGGATATTCATCTAAATATGTTTGAAGGACTATATCTCATAATTTCATTTACTAATGTCACTTTAGCTTATTAAAAATAAAAATATTTTAATATCTTTTTATTTTCTTTTCACCATTATATTGATTGTTTACTTTTAAGAAATACTTTACTCAGATAGTGAAAGCTAATACTTACTGGTATTCTGGGACTTTACCTGGTTTTTATCAGCTCATTAATTCCTGCAGTATTGGACCATAGACTCTGAAGTGGAATGTTAACATAGCATCTATTTTCTTTATTAGTTTTTAATTAAAATTATGTAAATAATCTCTCATTAAGCAAGCCCTGTGGACTTTAACTGTCTACCATTTTTGTGGACTAGCCATATTTTTTATGCGCCTGGTGAGTTGTTCTGTGAAGGGATTGAAGTACCTGCTAATGTATGATGTTGCTGATAACTCAGGGACTGAAAGAAAAAAAAACAAAGCAGGGCATGATATTGGCATAAAGCACAGTATTTAAAGCTGCTAATATTGGCTCTATTTTTAAGTTTAAGTGAGAAAATCTGATGTTTGCCAAACTGAGGAGGGTGAAACCAATAGGGAAAGAATCATCATACTCCAGCTTTAAGAGGATTTTTTAAAATAACACAGTGAAAACTCAAATTATGATTTATTAACTGACAGTATCTTAATGGTATAGAGCACATTCTAAAACATTTTTCAAAAAGTGATCATTCTTCATTGGTATGTAGCTTTTTATCACTATAATGGTTTTTCTTTACTTACATATGAATTCATAATAACCTTACCGCTTGAAGGAATGTCTAGATGTCGTGAGGCCACTGTTGTCAGATCTTCTTCATGATTTAGCTGCTTTGTACCAGGTTAGAGCGGTACAGTAAGCAAGCATATTTTCCTGGAAGCCAGAGATCTGTATCCTATACATGTAAACATTTTATCCACCTTTGTATGTAAATATAAAACAACTCATGGTTAGCTGCTATTTCAAGTACATTTGGTATACATGAGAAGAGTTCTTAAACTTTTCTAGCAATAGGATGTACTTGGCACAAAGTTGAAACAGCGCTATTCGTTGTGTGGAGCTCTTTTTGTGTCTACTTCCACCTCACTGACACTTTTATTTTAAGGTATCTCTCATTTCTGACTGCTCTAAACTGATCCTTATTGCATATCAATATTCCTTATAAAGACAGTTCTCTTATTTTGTAATATTTTTGTTACTTCGTGATAGTGGGATTACAGTTTAGTTTATTAGCAGTTTTCAGACCCTGGTTATCTATTCACATAGAACTGGTAAGCCTAGTTGGATGAATTTGGGTAATCCATAATTAGATGCTGGATTCTAGAGTTTGTGCCTACCCTGCTTCCTTATCCCCAAACAAAAATGAAACGCTTTTCTTAAAAGACACCCAGACATCTGGGGTGCCTGGGTGGCTCAATCGGTTAAGCAGCTGCCTTTGGCTCAGGTCATAATCTCAGGGTCCTGGGATCAAGCCCCACATTGGGCTCCCACCTCAGTGGGGAGTCTGCTTCTCCCTCTCTCCCCGTTGCTCATGCTCTCTCTCTTACTGTCGCTCTCAAATAAATAAATAAAATCTTCAAAAAAATTAAAAAAAAAAAAAAAGATACCCAGACAGATAGCTGTAAGAATAGAAGGCTTTAAAAAGGAAAATGATACTTTCCCCCTTATCATGGGTAATTTGGAAAATACAGAAAGATACAATGAAAATTAAAAACATATGATTTTTACCATCCAGAGAACTATGGTAAATTCAAGTGTATATATTTCTGTAGATTCCTTTTTCTGTTCATTTTTTTTGGTTATAAGTGAATGTATGTGTATTTTTAAAATTACATTGAAATCTATTATAATCAGCTTTTACCCTTTTTTCATAGAATAATCTTATTTTCCTATTCTTTTAAATGTATCTTGAGAACTCCTCTGCCCCCACTTAATGGCTACACAATGTTTCCTTATATGACGTACCATAGTTTAGCCATTTTCTCATTATTGAATGTTTTAGGTTGCTTCCAATTTTTTTTTGGTCATTATAAATAAATTACGTGATGTTCTTACTTCCTTTTCTCTAGAAAGCAAGGTCATGCTTCCAAAGTACTTTCTAGAAAGGTCAGATTTTTCCTTTCATTAGAATAAACAACTAAATGGAAGGCATGACTATTTTTGTAGTTATTTAACTCCTCAGAATCAGATATTAACTTTATGTATATATGAAGAGAGGCCTATCAGATATGTAAGTTTTTTGGTGAACTTTGTTGAGGGTTGGTTAAGGAACCATGGCTATTTTATGCAGAAGATTGTTGCATCCTTCAGAGATGAACTCATCTTCACTCAAAGGACATGAGAACCTGTGACATTGGCAAGACTTGATTTTGATTTTCTTGATCCTTAGTACAATGTTCAGGCAAGGGCCTAGTGTTTATCTATCTTTCCATTTGTTCGTTCATTTGTTCATTCTTTGAGCAAAGCAACATAAAACATTACCCAAGAGACCAGATTGTTAGAGTGATGTAAGAAATCTCTGAATAGTAAAATCTGGGCCAATAAATTAGTTTCTTTAAACCATCCTCCCATAATGCTCACATTTTTACAGGAATCTTATTTTTAAATAGAAATCCCTGGAATGCATCCAATATCATAGGCCATGATCCAAATGTGAGTTATAGTTAATTTGCACAGTAGGTGCAATTGATAACTAAAGACCATATATATAGTGGGTCCTCTGATATTCTATGAGCCAGACCTTTGGCTGGGTGCTGTGATACATAGGGATGTACATGGATGCATTCTCTGCCCTAAAGAATGCTAAACAAATGAACTTTTATAAGCTCTGTTGTAGCATGAGAACTGTAGACTGACTACAGTGAAAGTGTAGAGAAAGACCTTTATTTTAATTTTTTTAGATTCACTTATTTTAGAGAGAGTGGTTGCCTGTACTAGTGGGCAGAGGAGCAGAAGGAGAGGGAGGGAGAGAGAATCTCCAGCAGACTCCCCAGAGAGTACAGAGCCCAGTGAGGCGGGGCTCAAGTGGGTCCTTGATCTCACCACTCTGAGATCATGATCTAACCAAAACCAATAGTCTGATGCTCTGAAACCAAGCAGTAGTCTGATGCTCAAATGACCGAGCCACCTAGGCACCCCTAGAAGAAGATCTTTTTAAAAAAAAATGAGTAACACTTGTTTCATCCACACAACATAGTTATCAGCTGAAAGAAACATGCTCACTGGAATTTCACACTTTAATAACTTGATAATTCTAGTCATAAACTATTCTGTTTTAATATGACACCCTTACTTTTCCTTACGTTATGCCTTTTCCTTCTGTTTTCTACCTTCTCCCCCCACCCTTCATTTTGTTAAGCTGGTGAACTTAATTTGCAACTGTTCAATAAATTGACAAATCCCTGTAATGGAAAGTTTTAGACAGTGACTTAATACAAATATAAGGCACTTGTTTAGCAAGCTTTTTTAAAAAATGATCCTTGTACTTTGGTGAAAGCTTAGTTTACATTTCCTTGAGATAATTTTTAATGCTTACTTTCTAAAAACATTTTTATTAACCAAATATTTCGTGAGGCTGTATTGTCGAAGGAGTCATAGTAATCAGTCATGTATGAGGGATTGAAGTTAATTAAGAGTTGAAGTTGATACATATGAATAATGGGCAGTGTGGTCTTTGTGGCTCTTAACAGCTTACTTTTCAAAAACTACAGATAGAGGGAAAATCATTTGTGAAGCTGGTGGTTGGATAAAAGTGTGTTTTTATGTAACCTGATGGTGTTATCTTGGACAGACAAGACATTAGGTGATGGCAAGTATATTATAAAGATATATAAAGTATTAAGCACTAAGATTGCCAAGAACTGACTAGAATATCCTTGTTTTTAGTGTAACTTTATTTCTAAAACTCTTCGTCAGGAATGCTGTTTTTCTCATAGAAAATAATAAAATTTTGTTTAATTTTTCTTCTTGGGAACATATTAATCCATCATATTTTTAAATGGTACCTGTTCTGTGCTTAGTCATTTGATAAATGATAAGCAAGCCTAGAAAAGAAAAGTATGACTTGTCTGTTCTCATGGGCAGAAGAAATCATAGGCATAGAAGTAGCATTATAACATAGGCTCGAGGACCAATGTGGAAAATAACACACTCAAGGAGATTATATATATATATATATACATATATATATATATACACACACATATATGATAATTCTGAAAATTAAAGTCTGGCAAAACCTGGAAACATAAGAGGAATTTGGGCTCTATATGACAGGTAATAGGAAACCATAGTGAAGAAGTTACTTATTAGACTAGAGTCTGTGGTGTATATTATGGAATAGGAACAAATAAGATCAAATAGGTAGATTAAGGATCGGGTCATGTAGGATTGTGAAATCTAAGAGGGAAAGTTAGAACTAGATAAAATAGGGATTAGGAAAGTTTGTTTTGTTTTAAAGTAATCTCTATCCAGAATAGGGCTCAAATTTACAACCCCAAGAGTCATATGCTATACTGACTGAGTCAACCAGTAGCCCTGGGCAGGTTTTTGACCAGTTTCACACTGGGCTCTTGACATGATCAAACTGGTTTTTTAAAAAGAATGTTTGATATAGCAGGAGCATGAGAGCTATTTGTATGATACAGAAACTTGAAATAGGGAGAAAATATGGGAAGCCCAAAGAGAAGAGGGTCTGTCTGTTGACATTGATAGCATTTTGAAAGAATACACAAGTTGATGACAAATCGAGTTTGTTCACATATTCATTGAACAGCTGTTACTGAGTAATTGCCATACAGTGTGTGATAAGCGCTGAGGAATTAGGGATGCAAAAAGATAGAGTTTGGAGCTCCAGGGGCTTTCACAAAGCAAGATTGGCACCAGGATTTCTAACTGCGACAATCAGAATATAGGGTACAAATTTGATAGGTATAAGAGAAGTAGGTTGTGGAAGGATGTAAGGAAGAGAGCACAGTAATATGTTTGGATCAGTAGATGTAGATCTACTGAATAGATCTTAATTGTTGAAAATATAGATCCATTTATATAAATATATAAATTGGAGTTTTATCCTCATACTCTTCAGAGTACTATAGATCACAAGAGCATGTGTTTAATCTGTGCCTTGGTCTATGAGTGCTTGTTTTTTTTTTAATCACAAGCATAAATGGCTTATTTTCATAAGTTTTCTGTACAGTCTAAAGTTATGTGATTTTGTTAAGTATTTACCTCTTTTTAATGTTCTTTTTTGAAGAGTTTTTGCATCACACTAGTCAAATAAAATCCTGGGTTTGGGGAAACTTTTTTTGTGGAAGGCAGATTTTTATTTATTTCAATTAACTAGTCAGGGGAGGAATATTGACGGGGAAACTGATAGTGATATTTTAGATTTTGATTTTGGTGTACAGGTTTTCAAATTCCAAAAAGATGACTGCTGTAAAAGTTAATTCTTAATATTCTCTCATTCTAGGACAACTTCTGCTTACTGTCCCAAGCCTTCGTTTTCAGCCTCATGACAACTTTTGTGTCATCTGGGAATGACATTAACTACATGTATTAATTATATACAGCATAAACAGAAATAACCAAGTATCACTAGTCCTTAACTCAGGCCTCCTTTTCTCCCCCCTTCTCTAAGGAACGACTACCAAAATCACTACAATCCCAATGACTTCCAAGCCTAATGTGATTGTTGTGCAAAAGACTACAGGAAAAGGAACGACTATTCAAGGCCTCCCGGGCAAAAACGTTGTCACGACATTGCTAAATGCTGGAGTAAGTAAGAGCTTGTACTGCAGACTCAGCGAATCCACTGAGGATTTTAAAGACCAGCTATATAAATATTTGCCTAAGGACTTCAGAACCCCACAATGGCCTGTATGGTTTGATTTACCACTACTGTGATGTAATAACTGTTAAAATACCACCAACTGATGCCATTTTTCACAGTAATTTCTAAAACATGTTGCTCATAGCTACATTGCTTATGACCATGATTTAGATGCTTAGCTTAGTCCAGATGGAGGATTCCACTGGCTTAACTACAGGGAGACCTCTGTTAGAGGACAGTTTTGTTCCTGCCTCTGGCCAGTAGACACAAGCCTAGTATTGGCCCAGGCTGGGCAAAGTGAAATATTTGGAATGAAGAAAATTAATTGACAGGAATTTACTTTCATAATTAACTGCTTCATTTATAGTTGTGAAGGCAGTTGTGCAGAAGTTTGGAGTTAGACAAACCTGGGCTTTGTATCTTAGTATCGTAGTTGTTTGATCTTGGCAAATTTACTCAACTTCTGTCATCCTTAATTTCCTCATTTATAAGTTGGGGATGATGATCTTTACCACTGAGTTTGTTCAGTAACTGGTAGCTGTTTTGAAAATCCTTACAACAGTGCCTCGTGCGTAGGAAATCCTGAATAAGTAGTTTTTTTCTTACGTCGTTACTCTTGGTACTTAACTATTTAGGCTTGGTAATGTCCTGATTTGCTAGAAAAAAAAATACTGTTCTTCATTTTAGTAGATCTTGAGTAGCTTTCTAGGCATCACAGTCTTTATAATGTTGGCATTAGATCTTTTCATCATGTGGGAAAACATAGCCTGAGTTTACATGGTAAGCCAAAATAAAGCCTGGATTAGAATTCCTATTTTCAGAACCCCTTTATAGTCTGGTTTACAGTTTCATAGAATTTGATATGTAAGAGGGGATGCCATGTACCCAAAGTCCTGTGGTCATATACATCGAAGAGTCGTGTATGAATCCTAGCTGCTAGGTATATCTAACAGCAGGAGTTTGACTCAGGAAATACTAGTAAAATAGAGCAGAGCATAAGACTACACATATGTATATGCATCTGTACTCATCAGCTTGTTTACCTGGGCATGTCTACACACATCAGAAGAGCGTCTTCAAAAGATAGCCTGCTAGTTGGTTTTGATAGGCTTTGAATGAGTCATTATACTTGGACAGGGCCCATTAAGCTATTTGATAGGTATACATGCCCACTTGCAAACTAGTGGCTCTTGGCAAATGAACTAGAGCTCCTTCCAAAGCTGCTGCTGTGAAGGGTGTGTTTGTATTAAAATAAGTAATAACAGGAGTGATAGACACTTCATATCTCCCTGAGATAACTATCTCCCTTACAGCAAATAAACTTGTGATTTTTATAATCCTATTTAGCTCTAAATTCAGAGTGATTACCTTCTGCCAGCTCACCTGGGTACTTTGTTCTTACTGGCTGCTAAGTTTAGATGGCCACACATTTAGATGATGATGACTAAAAGTTAAAAACCAATAAGGTAAAAATTTTTCTTTTCAGTTTTATGGATTTTAACTTTTAAGAATGAATTATTTAGTAAAATCACCGTTTTTGAATTTAAACTCAAGTGTTGACTCTATAAATGACAGAAGGTACTTAAGAATAAAGCAGACAAAAGTGAAAAAATGGTGAAAAGTTAATGGGCTTAAGCTATCTAGTTAATAGACTAAAGTGATATTAGTAACATACTAATAATACAACATGGGAAATGCCCTAAGTTTGTTTTTTGTATTTTCCCGTATAACCTCAGAACATTTGTTAATATCTGCTGATTTCATCTCTTGCCATGCTTTTTTGCATAGAGATTGCTGTGTGTCCTTATAATTTTGTATTTGGAGAGCTTAATTTATTTGTAGGTATACATTTAGTTATTGGTATAATGCACAGTAATTTCTTATTACATTAATGTCTATTTTGGTTATATTAGAAAATAAAGGTAATGTTTATTTTACCCAAAATAAAATTTGGGTAAATTAGAAAATAAAGGGGGAGACTTATAATCCCAACTCTTAGAGATAGCTATTGTTAACATTTTAGTATATATTCTTATATAATTTCCTGACTATTTTAATGTATGTATTTTATGAATGTGACATGGTAGTAAATATTCTTATGTGAGATAATTTTTAAAATTCACTTGTCAAGAAATAAGTAATGCTTTCTTTGGATCAAAAGTTGGGCAGATGACTTTTAGGACTGTCTCAACTATGTCTAGGATTTTTGGTCACCTGAAAACATTGTACTTTGCTATTTAATTTATAGTCCTTTCCCCATCATCCTGGTAAAACCTTGCTGTGTGATTTTTCAATAAAAGGATTTTTTAGTTTTTGGCATTTAAATACATATAAATCTCATGTATTCACTAACTTTAATTTAGGGAGAAAAGACTATTCAGACGGTGCCAACAGGAGCAAAGCCAGCTATTATCACTGCTACAAGACCCATCACCAAAATGATTGTAACTCAACCAAAAGGAATAGGTTCCACAGTTCAACCAGCAGCTAAAATCATCCCGACAAAAATTGTTTATGGGCAGCAAGGGAAAACACAGGTATGCTATAAGATATGGTGGCTTTGGGGACCCCTGGGTGGTTCAGTGGGTTAAAGCCTCTGCCTTTGGCTCAGGTCATGATCCAGGGTCCTGGGATCTAGCCCCACATCAGGCTCTCTGCTCAGTAGGGGGCCTGCTTCCCCTCCCCCACCCTCTGCCCCACTGCCTGCCTCTGCCTACTTGTGATCTCTGTCAAATAAATAAAATCTTAAAAAAAAAAAAAAAGATACAGTGGTTTTTCTTGGCTCTGGCATATTTCAAATACCTAAAATTCCATGCTAGAAATTTGAATGAGAAGATCAATAATCTTTTAAAAGATCCGATTGTTAAATAAATAAATAAATAAATAAATAATAAAAGATCCGATTGTTAAGTTATGACCAGATGTACATAACCTTCTGTTTTCAAAACCTGTGTTTCTCTCTTCAGTACTTTTTTTTTGGGGGGGGGGGTCTAAATATTTGTGCCATGTCATGAGCAAAGTTTGGGGAAATGAACACCCTTGGAATAAAATTTGCTGAAGGGATATATTGTTATTTGAGAAGTAGATGCTTGAGGGATAGTGGTAGTTATTTGGAATCTCTCAGAAACAAGTATTTTTTATAAGCTGGTATGGCCTTTGAAAGCACTTCAGATACTTAAAAAAATTGTTTTACTTGAAACCTAAGTGATAGAGTAGCTAGAGATCCGTTCATTTTTCAAGCAATAGAAGATAAGGGAATTTTTCTGGAAATTTGCCTAGAAAATTGAGGCTAAGGATTTAATCTTATGTTGCTAGACTACTATTTATTTTATAAAGTTCCTACTTTAAATGCTTTATGAGAACAGCAAAGGAAGTAATGTCAACTTTGGTTGAGAAATGTTATCCTAGAATTCTTGTAAAAGGTTTTATTTTACTTTAGTAATTTGCCTTTAGGATCAGTTCCCTTAGAATCATAGTGAAATTGTATACACATCTAAACAAACAAGTTTTGTGATTAGAGATAAGTCCAAATTGCCTTTAAGTTTTAACTGGTAACAATTCTCATTTGCTCCATCATTTGCATCATAGTATAACCCGTGTTTTCATTCTTGAATTCTTGGAAATGGGTGAATTAGTGGAGTCTGAAAAGATTTAGAATCTTACATATTGGAGAAATAAAAACTAAATGTGCTCAGTCAACATTTTTATTCTAGGCATCCAATTGAAGTCAGCTCCTAGAGTTCAGATTTTGAAGTGGAATGGTTCAGTTTGAAATCTTTCTCCCATTTCACTTATTTTAATGTCTGTGGTTTTGACCTTTGCCAGGAATTGATCTACCACATGTTTCATATTGCTTCTAATAACAGTTGTCTAAGTCAGTGTTGTTCTGGGGATCTTTCAAAGATGACTTAGGTCCCCACCATTTTGTGCAGGTGTCTCAATTAGGAATTTCATTTGGTTGTTAATGAAAAGAAACCTGAAGAACAGTGGCTTATACAAATAAGGGCTTATTTTTGTTATATTAATAATAATGTGTTAATTATTTTATGATGTTAATAAATGTTCAGAGGGAGGAAATTCTAGACTATTCTCGTGGCATTGGGAATCCAGGCTCCTTGTGTCTTTCTCTTCTGCTGTCCATAGTGTGTGGCTCTCTTTCTACTATATAGCCCACAGATTGTAAAATGACTTCTGAAGTCATCATAGGCAAGAAAAAACAGGGGAGAGCCTCTTGTCAAAATTGTGGCTGTTGCAGTCTGGCATGTATCACTTAAAATCTTTTATGTGGCTTGACTCTAATTTGGTCATAGATTAAATTAGTCTTTGATGAACAGTGTTGTGCCCAAAGCATAATAAATATACAGAATACAGCTTCCCATGTCAGGAAAATATTCTTCATGACTTCAAGTTTGGCATTTTAAATAGTGCTCTAAAATTTAAGCTGGGCGTATTTCTGATTTTCTTCTAGGTTCTAATTAAACCCAAACCAGTGACATTTCAAGCCACAGTTGTTAGTGAACAGACAAGGCAGCTGGTCACAGAAACATTACAGCAAGCATCTAGGGTGGCAGAAGCTGGTAATTCATCTATTCAAGAGGGAAAAGAAGACCCACAGAGTTATACAGATAGTAGTTCCTCTTCTACAGAGTCCTCCCAAAGTTCCCAAGGTAAGATCCATTTTACTTCTGATTTATGTAATTGCTTCTGACATAGTGCCCTAGTTCCAAAATAGTTGAATCTAGGGGTTTCAAACAAACATGTATGGTTTGCTTTGTTGATTCTTTTGATTTTATTTTCCTTTGTTTGATATGTAATCAGTGAGCTGAAGTTTTGTTTTTGGTAAGATTTTACCATTCTTTCCTGCGTACCTTATGTTCATCAAATAATTGGTAAACTTTAGATGGTGATTTTGTCAGGTAGATGTTAACCAAACTTAAATAGTGCTGTGGTTCTTCTTGTTTCCTTTTGGGTGGTAGGAGAAGTAAGTGGGCAAGAAAGCAAATGTATCTTTCGAATGGTTACTGTTTAACCTTGAGAAAGAATCAGGGTGGCCAGAGGTGGGCCATAACTGAGCTATAAGTAGAGTGACCATATATTGCAGTTTGCAGAGGACAAGTCCTGGTTTATATCTGTTCCAGCATAACTATTAATAGCATTCCTTTTCACTCTCAAGGGTATCCCAATTTAGATGATACTGTATGGTTGTCCTAATTATAAGGAAAGAGCCATGAAGCCAGACTCTATAGTAGGGAAGCTCTTTATCCTCAGTGTTGTTTTAATTACGTAGTTTGCCTAGGACGTCTCTTGAAATATATTCTTGATCATAAGCTCTGAGACCTACAAATCTAGTACTAATGTCTGTCAGTTACCTTGACGGCCCTTATTGTCAGATGGTAGGTATATTTATGCCTATGCTTGCTTATATGCTCCAATGCATCTACTAAGCAAAGCTGTTTATCTTCCCTTGATCATTCCTCACACACTCCATTCCCTCTCCTCACCCCCCTATTATTTTTTCTGGAGTGCTTTCTGAACATCTTCAATTTTCTAATGCAGATTCTTCATCTTATGCACTTCTATTATTCTAATTGTTTAGCAGAGTCTTTCCAGATTAATGGGAAGTTCAGATTGCTTACAGGGTTCAAATTCCTGATTAGTCCATTAATTGAATTTGACATTTATATATACATTTCTTATACTACTTATTAAGTATTATGCTAGGCCCTATAAATGTTGAGTAAAATATAATTCTTGTTAAAATCTAGAATAGGAGATTAAAAAATACACGTACAACTTCAGTATGAATATAATAAGTTTATTAGAAACAAACAAAAATGCCAAAGGCTAAAAATTCACACTCCAGTGAGGAGAGAATAAGAAAGCTTCATGAAGGAGATAGCATTTGAAGTGGTCTTTGAAAACTCCTCAATTAAAAAGAAATAAAACTGTTGATTTTAACAAACAATATGACACTCATTTTAGAGAGTGGATTAGGGTTTTCTTCAGCATATTATCAATGTTAGTAATATTTTCTGGATTGATTTACTGAGAAGATTCAATTTATCATTCTATATTGATTATGAATCAGTCTTTGTACAAGTTACAATGGAGTGATGCCTGTTCTCTATTTCATTTGATCTTTATTTCATAATGATTTGCTATTTAAAGATTCCATTCTTACTTTCACACATTGGCTGTATTTTCCTCTTTTACTTTTAAGTCTCTGGTTCCTTGAAAATACATGTCATTTTTTTCCTTGAGAAATATTTTTATAGAGGATAGGTAAATGTTTAGCTTATGAGTTGGTCCTAAAAGGGGGGCATGAACAGTAGATGTTTTTATATCCATAATCTCGGGTTATCTTGTGAAATTTCAGGTCTTTTCCTAAGGGAGCTGTAAGCCAGTCATTACTTCCCAAACATGCCATTTCATTAGGCAGTCTTAAGTGTTCATTCTAAGAATGGGACAGAAATTTGGCTATTTTTGGAAGTGATTGAGTGGAAGGTTTTCTGCTTTTCAATCTCTTATTAAACATGGCTTCATCTATTTTTATTTATTTGTCCTGTATCATTACATATTATTTATTTTAAAAAGTTCTGTAATACAGAAAAAGTCAACAATTCGGAATACATATATCTAGATTATAAAGCCAGTTTTTATCATCCTTATCCCACTCATATCTTTGTATAGCTCCTTAGTGCATTCTCACAATGACTGATGATCTATATGCTGTGATTTAAAGAGAAAGGGATAGAGATTTTGGTCAGTCTAGGATCATGCTGGCATTCAAAGTATACGAGGGTCGTACCTGTTGGGAATGTAAGCACTACATAGCAGTTCATTTTTTCCTTTATATTTTTTTGTAGTTTTTGCCACTCCCCCACCTTTCGTAACTTTTTCTTTTAATGTAATTTCAAACTTTCAAGAAACTTGCAAGAAGAGTTAAATTAAAAAGAGAGAAATTAATATTTTAATATAATTTTAATATAATTAATATAATTTAATATAATTAAGATTTCTTTTTTTAAGATTTTATTTATTTATTTGACAGAGATCACAGGTAGACAGAGAGGCGGGTAGAGAGAGAGAGGAAGGGAAGTAGGCTCCCCGCTGAGCAGAGAGCCCAATACGGGGCTCGATCCCAGGACCCTGGGATCATGACCTGAGCCAAAGGCAGAGGCTTTAACCCACTGAGCCACTCAGGCACACCTTAAAAATTTCTTTATTTAAATTTTGTTTATTTCCAGTAAGTTTAAGGTGGATTAGGTAGAATATAAGATTATGTGAAGTGAAATGGAAGGGAGCAAGGAGAGAAAACCAAGGGTAGGGATTTAAGATGGAACAAGGTATGAGGCAGATACAAAAATGCATCCTGTAAAGACATTGCTTTAAGGAGGCCACAACTTGGTTTCTAGGATGATTTTTCCGGAAGCTTTATGATCTTGGTAGATCATGGTGAGGGTGGGGAATAAATCCAGGTTAAGCAAAACATACTTACTGCAAAACTTTTCAGAGCTATTATGTGTTAATATATATTGTGAAAGATGAAGAGAAGAGTATATAATGTAAACTGCTCCCCAACTTTTTTGATCATAGAACCCTTCTTTTGCAGAACATCTTTAGGAACTAATGTTCTCTGAAACATTTTGAGTGATGCTGTCTAGGCAGTTTAATATCACGAAGGGCTAGGGCTTTATGACAGTACTTCAGTGGAAAAATGCTTATTACATCATAGAAGGGACATAGACATCTTGGGTTTAGTGTTGTGTTTTTGTTTGTTTGTTTGCTTGTTCATTTGTTTTTTGTCAGAGAGAGAGAACACAAGCAGTCAGAGTGGCAGGCAGAGGCAGAGAGAGAAGCAGGCTCCCGCTGAGCAAGGAACCCAGTGTGGGACTCTATCCCAGGACCCTGGGATCATGACGGGAGCTGAAGGCAACCGCTTAACCAGCTGTGCCACCCAGGCGTCCCCTGGGTTTAGTTTAGAAGGGGTGGTTTAGATGAGTAAGGCATCTGGGAATCATTTTATGTGAGAAAGTGTTGGAAATAGGACATTTATTATGGAGAAGAGAAGATGAGGATTGGTTTGGGCACATTGGGAGCTGTCAGTTTTCTTGACTGTGACATGCAAGAGGGAAAAGAGTTCGTCTTTGTGGCTACATGGATGGAAACTAGAACCATTGGGTAGAAGTCACAGGAAACCCTGCCCATTTAAGAAAATTTTCTAATTGTCATAACTGCAGAAATGGGAGGAAACTATCTTAGAAAGTAGTGAGCTCTCTGGTGTTGCAGTTCCTGGATTGGGATACTGTGAAGATTTTAGCACAGGATTGCTGATAGCATGAAATGAACTTTTAGATCCCTGCTAGCTGAGAGGTCTGAACTTTTCCATGAAAATGTGATATGGGCCTTTTATGGTAAAGTTACAGGAGACATTCTTTCATAGAGATGCCTCATCTGCCCTTGCATATAACAGTACAGTGTGTATTTCTGGTACCTAACATGTAATAGACATCCAGTAAATATTTGTTAAGTGACCTGTGGGGAAAGATATCTGAGGGTTAGCAGACCATCATCCTCAAGAAAGATAGGGAGGTCTACGATGCTGCTGTGAGATCGTGTTCTTGATGTCTCTGTCATTGCATTCTGACCTCATTCTCAGACTTAATAGGCAATAGATTTATCTAGTCTAAGAATAAAAGCCAAAGTAAAGAGGAAAATCACTTAAGGATTGGTTTCTACATTGAGAAATGTAGAAACTTTGTCACAGCTCTTGGGGTTGCCGCAGTGATACTGTGCAATGATCAGCTATTTTCTGAGTATGGGCAGAAAGAGTGAAGAATCTCTAGCTCCTACAGGATAATGTTATTTGTGGTGATAGGTGCTCCCTTGCAGAGATTTGTTTTCTTTTTTTGGTCTCTTTCTACCTTATCCCTCTGCAAATGTTATCCTTGCTTTCTTCTGGATATTTAATGAATATACAGAATTGGGTTGCAAACATTCTTTGCCATGGGTCCTCTCACCTACCCAAAGGGGTGCTTACATCATTGTGAGAATTTCTTAAATGTGAGAACTTGGGTTTTATAAAAAGAATTATTTCCTAATAAAATTACTTTTCTTAGGTGTAAGTTCTATTTGTCTACTTATAACGAGTAAGGGAAAACTGTGGTATGCATCACATGACATTTGGTATTGAAGGATAGTGTCCCACAGCCTTCTAGAATTTGGGGAGAAGTTTAATGGAAATTATACACCCCTGTCGTATATTCTGCCTGGTGTTTGGGTAACTGGGGATGCAGTTTGTTAATGGTAATTAAAAATTCCATGTCTATTATATATTGATTTTTCTTTGGGAAGGCTGTTTTTTTGTTTGTTTGTTTGTTTTGTTTTTTAAGAGTCATTTCACCTCCCCAACCTTTTTCGACAACTTTGTGGTGTTCAAAAATAAAAGGTTCAAAGAAGGTGAACTTACATTGAATTTATTCTTGTTTTTTTTTTTTGGAGTGGGGCTACATGAATTCTTTTCATTCTTCTACAATGCTTTCACTGACTAATCCAAATCAAAGCAGTCTTTTTCTTTCCATGTATTTGTCTTGTTTGCCTTAGTCATTTGATTTTACCCAAGAATACAAAGCTATATGTGTGTTTTTTTTATTCTCCTCCATTGTAATTTAAACTTGGGAGTGGGGATCCAACATAATTTTTGTCCTCTGTGGAATCCTGACAAAGGAGCAATAGTCTAATCCAACCTGCTTATTCTGTAGATGGAAAACTCAGTAATTTGTTGCTTATTTTAATGTGCATTTAGTATTCACATGCCTACTTTCATAGTATAAATATAATAAACCTTGGAGTTAGGGCTCTAATTTATTTTGAAACTGACTAAGAGTCTCAGAATCAAGAACTTTTAGGACACAACAACAATAACATTTCTACTGTCCTTCATAGTTTATGGAGCTCTTTTACATGCATTATTTCATTATATCCTCAGAATTCCTGTGAGGCAGAGAGGTAAATTTATCATTGTCATTTTAGAAATAATGGCACTAAAACCTAAAGGCTCAACTTGTGAATAATTGCTAGAGCTGGGGCTGTAACCTAAGACATTGAACTCCAGATGTTATATGTGTCCTATTAGATCATCCTGTTTCTAGATCATTTATCCATTCTTGTTGTTGGTGGACAGGATTTCTTTCCAGCAATTCAGCCATCCAGTAAGTGTTGACTGGATGCTCAGGTTGTAATACAGAACACATTTTCAGGTGCACTGAGGAAAATAAGACTCCTACAGTATTTTGCTCTTATTATACACAAACATGCATCTACTTACACAAATGCACACCTATTTATTATAGCAATTATCACATTGAATTGTAATTTGTCTTTTTACATGTCTGTCTCTCCAGCCAGATTATGTGCTTCTTGAGCATCCTCTGATTATTCTGTAAGCTCCTTTATATCCTCAGTGCCAATACAGACTCCTGCTTACAGGTGCCTAGTTTGTTGAATCAGTGTATAGGAGTGAATGAGTGAGTGAATACAGACACGAAAGATATTATGCCCTCAGGGGGCTTACAGTCTTCTTGGGGAGATAAAGCATGAAGTTTACAGTAAATACAAAGATTAAAAAAAAAAAAAACAATTTGTTTTTTTTTTTTTAAGAGAAACTTTGTTTATAGGGTTTTTTTTTTTTAACTAATATAAAACAGATTCCCAGCCTGTAGTTCATGTAATTGCTTCCCGGCGTCAGGATTGGTCAGAACATGAGATTGCAATGGAGACTAGTCCCACCATAATTTATCAGGATGTATCCAGTGAATCACAATCAGCTACTTCAACAATCAAAGCTCTATTAGAACTCCAACAGACAACAGGTATGAATTCACATGCTCAATTGAATGAAGCATGTTTTCTCTAGAGATGGGTTGTGCTAAAATACTACCACTGTTATATTTTCTTTGTTATTATTTGAGCACATTTCCCCCCTCTGGACTGGTCTATAGTCCTTGCTGCAGTCTGTGTGCTTGTCAGTTGAGTAAGAATACTGATTTCAGTTCAGTAAGAATACTGCCCAGGAATACTGAAGGGTAGGCTAGTCAGGGAGAAAAAAAGGGCAGAACTCTTTCTTTTCTGTCTCCTGCTTAAAAGGGCAATCCTTGTAGCCTCTTGTCACCAGAAGGCAGTAGTTTCTATCATTTCTTAGCACAAGGGTAGATCCAGTATAGCTGCTAGTTCTATGTAAGAATAATAGTAGGAAGCAGATTGAAGAGCCCCTGCCATCCTCCTCGATACTGGTTGGGCAGTTTTGTGGACATAAAACACCATTAATAGCCCTTGCTAGCATTCTAATTGGTTTTATCTTTGTAGTTCATTGTATAATTTAACCACTTGAGCTTCCATGCAAAGCCATCCTTATTTAACAAGATCCTATCAGTATTTCTGGTTATTTAAATATCTTCAATAAACTCCAGGCAAAACCTGTATCAGTTATACTGACTTACCTGTTACAGTAAGTCAAAGATTATTAGGTTACTAAAGGGACCTTAGCAATGATCTCATCCAACCTTCATTTTATGTGTAAATAAACTGAGATCCAAACATGTTACCTAGTAGGCTAGTGGCAGAGCGAGACTCCATGTCTTTTGATTCCTATTTCAGTGTCTGCTCTACTTTTGGGGTGACTGTAATATTATTTTGGTTTTGTTTTGCTTTCTTTGTTTAAATGATTAGCTTGATTTTGTCACATTATACTTCGTGGGAATGATCTGAATGATCATTCAGTGGACTTAGTTACTGTAACTATTTGCCATAACACCCACTTTACACTAGCCAAAGAATACTAGCATTTAGTATCTTTGGTTAATCTTTCTATTGGTGTTACTTTTGGCCTTAGGTATTTCTTCAGCTTCTTGTCTTTGACATACTTAGCCATTTGCATTAATGTCTTATAAGGGTAGAAACCGAATGAGTAGATTTTATAGAAAAAGTGTTAAGATAGAAAGTAAATTTATTCATGGAACCCATTCTTGTTTCCAGGCCATTCCATAAAACATTTTTGTAGGAACAGAGAAACACTGAAAATTTTTATTTAAGAGTCGTTGAAGACTTGGTAAATTTCTTTGGAAATTATCTTGAATTTTTAATAGATCAAATTAAACCGGTCATTGTATTGTGCTATTCTGGGTAGGTCTGCCCTAGAGCAAATTATTGTGTATACTGCTTATTCACCCTTTGTTTTCAGGTTGGTGAACTCAAAAAAACCAGGGACTACCTTGAAGAAGGGTAAAGGAAATGTTCTAAGAGGACTGTGTACAAGAGAAACAGATTGCTTGGCCTAGTCATAGTAGGGGGGAATTTTAGTCTGAGTGCATATGAGTTCTTCTTGCTAGGCTGCTGGGTATGGCTGTACAAGTTGTGCATTCTACAGCCATACATAGCAGTCTGCTTTTTTTCTTTTCAATTCACTGTTTCCTTAGTCACTGCCAGTGTAGCACCCCAGAGGTCTGGTTCATATTCCCATGGACAACTCTGGTTTTGATACTTGTTTGTAATAAAAGTTAACTTTTCCCCTGACTTTTTTATGCAGTAAAGGAAAAATTGGAATCTAAACCAAGACAACCCACTATTGACTTGAGTCAGATGGCAGTGCCTATTCAGATGACCCAGGAAAAGAGACATTCTCCTGAGAGTCCATCCATTGCTGTGGTAGAGTCAGAACTAGTTGCTGAATACATCACTACTGGTAGGTGTCCTTGTAAAAAGTAGTATTAAGGTAGGAGAGCTACCTTTCTGGATTTATGGGATGGTTGTTTGGGGGAGAATATAGTTTTTATATTTCTAGATCTTTTCCAATTTTGTCTGAGAGTACATTCACATTGTCCTTGGGACTTACCCTATCATTAATGACAAGGGGGGAAAAAAGCAATTGGTTGTTGCAAACTGCAAATAATAAAGAATTGAAGGTGGCCGTAAATAAAATCTGTGGTTATAAGGTGACAGCTGTAAAGAGGATAAAATACCTTTTATATAAGGATAGATATTCTGATACATCTGAATTTTCTAGTTTTGGGGGAGGGGATGTGGGTCAAGGGAGAAAGAAGGTATAAAACCCAGTGCTTTTTTAGCGTAAAGGCAAAAATGGAGACCTTGAAATCCATGTAAATACTTAGGAGTTCTGGTGGAAAGCAAATTAGGTATTTGTTTAAAATGTGGTCTGGCCATAAAACACTAATGAGATTTTTAGATGGCATAGATAGAAAAGTGGAGCAGGAAGGATCATAAGATTCTTTCTCTCATATTCTGGTGAGACCATTCCTGGAATACTGCTTTCTGGTTTGGACACTTCATTACCTAGAGATTTGAAATAGTTCAGAGGATAGTAATGTGAATAATTAGGGGTTGGGAGAAATGACTTATGAGGCAGTATGTCAAGAACGCCTGTCTTAAGTTTTCTTAAGCAGTGATTAAAGGAGAATGTAAAGTTAAAAATATTTAAAGGATGTAAAAAATACTAAAGCGGAAAAGGAATTCTTTGGTATCATTTTTAAGAGATATTTTTAAAGATTAATGGGTTATGGTGAGTGCTCTGAATTGTGTAAGTCTGATGAATCACAGACCTGTACCCCTGAAACAAATAATATATTATATGTTAATTTTAAAAAAAAGATTAATGGGTTAAAATTGCCAGAAGGGAGAATCCAGTTAAAGACCATGGAAAGCCATCTAGCATCTTTCTTTAAAGATATTTAGCAGAAATCTAAATAAAGCAGGGGGCAGTATGTTGGGAATATGAGTATTAACCTCTGGGGATAGACTAGATTATCAGATGGTAAATGGAGGAAAAGACCTATGATTTCTTCCCTTACTTATCCTTTTCAGAACGCACTGATGAGGGGACAGAGGTTGCTTTTCCCCTTCTAGGTAAGTGGTGTGCATCCATTTGTAGTATAACTGAAGGTAAAAGATTATTGTTTTGGGGGAAACCACTTAAATGGATGCGCTCTACTCTGATCTGGTAGAGGAAAGGTAAGCTCCACTCAGTGAAAAGGAGACTTTCTTTTTGCAGGATAGTAGGATTCTTTCTCAGAAATGAGCAGTTTGACATTGAAAAAAATAAGAGCTGTTTAAAGAAATAAGTGACTATTTTATGCTGTTGATATGGCCCAGTTAAGGTCACTTTCAGCTGTTTTCCATATGTTCACTCTCTGACTTCCTTCCATAATCTCCTCCTCATCATATCCTCAGCCACAGTAAGCATTTTCTTTGACTTCAGATCCAGGTTCCTGGCCCTGATGTCTTGTATTATCCTACAATCGGTGTTAGTTTTCTCTGACTTTCCCACACACTGGGGAATTACTATGAAGGGGTTTATAGATCTTGAATGAGGATTATTCTTAAATGATTTTAGTTGATCTTCTATTAAATCCATTTCCTTTCTTAATAAAAAATTTAATGTTATAATCATGAAGATTAGTATGGACAGCAGAAATGTTCCATATAATCTGATAATTTCATAAAAGATTATTATTTTTCAAATGTCACTCATTTCTGATGATGCTTCTATCAGTTAAAAAACTTAATTAATTTGTTTAATTTTAATATTAGTATGATTTATTTTTTCTCCTTAGTCACATTATAAATGATTTCAGTAGTTGTTCTAATATCAACACTTTTTTTCAGTTTGGTTGAGCACATGTGGAAGATTTTATTAACTTACATAATCTAAAATGTGCATGTAAAGCATACTGTGAAATGCAGTAAGATACTGCAGTACATTTATACCAGTGATGCTGCCTATAATCTCTTAGAGCACCTGCAGGCATATGTATAAGCAGCAATAGAAAAACTGTGAATATAGACAGAATGAGTTACAAAAATAAGTAAAGCTTGTTTATATTACATTGGATAGTTTTAGTTCTGTACTTATAATACCTAGGTGGTACTTTGACTTTGATTTCTGTAGTGATCATCTTCTTGGACATTCCACTATCACTTTTCTAAACATGGAACCACTTAATATGGAACTACTTGAAATTGCAGCTTGAGATATTTGAGCATTAGAATCGTGGGTTATTCAGAGAATTTTGATATTCTCAAAATACTTACCAAATCTTACAGATTTGTTTTACTCTGTTCTTGATTCAAAAAGTTCATTTCCCAATAACCATAAGCATTTTTAAGGCTCTGTAGAATAAGAAGTGGTGGATGTTTTACTGTTTAAAAAGTTGAAGTTGAAACTGGTAAGAGATAGTTTGGCATCAGTGTAGACATTGTTTTACATCTGTTACATGGATATAAATGCCTAGCTTATTCCTTTGGACTTTTGTAGTGAGAGAATAAGAAATGGGGTTGTTTTCCTGTTACACTGTATTCTCACCCATTTATGTCAGATGAACAAAATTTGTGATTTTTCTATTCCAATGTTTACTTTTAAGACTTAACAATTTAAGGACCGTTTTCAATCTGTTACTTCATTTGATCCTCTTCTAGGTAGAAAAAATTTTTTTATTTTCCTATTAAAAAAATAAATAAATAAAACCTCTAAGTTTAGAGACTAATAGAATTTAAGTGACCTGTTCAAATTCACATAGCTGGGGTTGGTGGCAGAATGGGACAGAATCCAGGTGTGACTCTTGGTCCAGTTCTTTTTGCAGTATCATCTTGACCTCTTATATCCTTAGGAACTATAAGGCTGCAAGACAATGTCACTTCATGTAAAAGAATGAATGCTTCTGGGTTTTATATTGCATTAGGAACTAAGACCAATAAATTAAAGTGTTATCTTAGTAAATTTAGTATTACCTTCATGTCCTTAAAGACATTAGCCTGGGATTTGATTGCAGAAATTTATTGCTGTTTGGTTACCTTAAAGGGGTGAAGGTTGTTGGAGAAATTAAGTACAGCTCACAGGAGGCTGTAACTTTACGGGGTTTGTTCCTCCTTTGTGATAATAGTTTTCACGGTGCTTCCACATTTCTCATCTCATCCTTATAATGACTCTGTTATTCCCATTTTACAGATGAGAACACAGAGTCTCAGAGAAGATAAGTGACTTTCTCAGAGTCACACATCTCATAGATGGGCAGACTCTGGTCTTCTGCCTCCTAGTTCACAGTACCACATATTCTCTGTGATGCAATCTCACAGACATTTGTTTAAAATGACTACTGGTTACAGATGCTGTGGTGATTTCTGGAGAAATATCATCACCTCCTCTATTTTCAGTCAGCCATCGCTCCCAGCCCCAACAGCCCTCCCAGCCCCAGCGGACCCTGCTCCAGCATGTGGCTCAGTCACAGACTGCAACACAGACTTCAGTGGTGGTGAAGTCCATCCCGGCATCTTCCCCTGGAGCAATCACCCACATTATGCAGCAGGTTGTATCTCTTCTTTCTCTTCTTACCTTCTGTTACTGCCTCCTTCCTGAAATAAGGTTTAGTTTCATTGATTATAGGAGAGGAAATAACTGAATTGAAGAGCAGTTCTTTCCTCTGTGAGGACTGAGTAGAGAAAATGAATTGAGAGTCTTAAAACACTGGAAAGTAATTAAGAAGCAGTATTCATGGATCTTCTTCTGTAAAATTGGAACATTTGAAAAGGGTGGGATTATCTAGATGAATCTATGGCTTCAGAATTGGTCACTCTGTATACTTTGTTATGAAAGCATTTATCACTGAGGTGAGATTTTTAAATGAAATAGAAGTTAGCTTGTTTAGCTGTTTGTTGCTAGGTGTTTTGGTTTTAAAATGAATTCTCATAGGAAACATTATTTATAAGTACGTATAAATATCTCACTTCTTTTACTCTATGTGACCAATTGAGGAAGAGACTTAATGGGGGAGGAGAATGAGTTAATATAAAACAGGAAATCTAGTATCAAGGGTAACAGGGAAAAAGAATATGTTGATAAGCTGATTTTTGTGTCAGATACTGTGCTTTGAGCTTTAAAATACATTAATTTGTTTAATTCCCACTATAATCCTGCAAGGTAGGTGTATTATCCCTCTTACAAATGAGGAAACTCATGCTTACAGAAGTTAAGTAACTTATTCTGGGTGGCAGAGCCAAGGTTTAAACCCAAAGCATCCTGCCTCTATACAAAGTGATATCATAGATGCCAGATTTAAGTGTGACTTCTGATTAGTTGTCACATAAATCACCATCATTTGACTGGTAGCAGTTGATCCTAATAGTAAGCAAACTAACCTGAATGACAATAAGTTGTTGCATTAAAAACCTATATGTGTAAGGTCATTATGAGATAGAGGAGGGTTTCAATTGAATCTCAAAGTTTTTAAAGTTTAGAATAAAGGAATAGCATGACAAAGAAGTAGGAAGAATGGGGTTGGGGTGGATGTTGTGTCACTGAGGAAAGCCAGGTGGCCAGAGGTTTAGCGGAGTATCAGATCTTAGCCTGGTTGCTGGCAGGTCCTGACATTGAGCTTTCTCAAGACCCCCAGAGAGGTCAAACAGGCTGGCCCTAACCATGTCCCTCAAGATCGTTGCTTTCTCCCATCACAGTTACAACTGACACAGAACAATCTCCTTTTCCACGGACAGGAGTGCTCTCCATCCCCTCCCTGGTCTTCTCCCCTCCTGGCAGCCCAGTCTCTGGGAAACTGTTGCTCAATGGGCCCAGAAGATAACCAAAGTGGGGAGGACGACTAGTGCAGACGGTTCTAAACACAGGCCTTGGTGAAGCCTGAGGACCCATTTCCACTCTGAGCAGAGAGGCCCTCTTTGGGGACTCGTATGGGCATGTCCCTCAGACAGTGACTCTTCCCTTCTGGATAGGGTTGGACATACACACGGCCAACATGGGCTTCTTTGAACCTTGGCTTTTCTCTGGACACCTCATTCCTGGGTTGCTGCGTTCTTTTCCTTGATTGGGTCAGTATCTCTGATGACCAGGCTAGAGAGCTGTGTCCTGAGCCAGAGAACCTCTCCCTTTTCTGTGTTGGGCTGTGCTTGCAGGGCAACCTTACTCCTCCTACCTACACATTCTGGGCTCTCAAGGACTTTTCTTAAAGAAGTGAGTAGATCAGTTTTTGCAGTCCTTAATGTCTAAGAGTTGAAATTACAAGAGTCTCAATCTAAAGACCCCCCTTTAGATGTAGAAAACTTGAGTTTCTTGGTCTTTTTAGGCTCTTCCTTCTGAAAATTTTTGAATGAATCTCATAACCAAGTCTCTTCCAGTTTGAGGAAAATGTAGCAATGTAGGTGTTTTTCTTATTTCATTCTTACTTTGTGCCTTTTTTACTTAGGCATTAAGCAGTCACACTGCTTTTACCAAACACAGCGAGGAACTTGGAACTGAGGAGGGCGAGGTTGAAGAGATGGACACTTTAGACCCTCAGACAGGTCTGTTTTACCGATCTGCCCTGACTCAGTCGCAGTCAGCTAAGCAGCAGAAACTTAGCCAGCCCCAGCTGGAACAGACTCAGCTGCAAGTGAAAACTCTGCAGTGCTTCCAGACTAAACAGAAGCAGACCATCCACCTGCAGGCAGACCAGCTCCAGCACAAACTCCCGCAAATGCCCCAGCTTTCCATCAGGCACCAAAAGCTCACCCCTCTCCAGCAAGAACAAGCACAGCCCAAGCCAGATGTACAGCACACACAGCATCCCATGGTGGCCAAAGACAGGCAGCTTCCTACTTTAATGGCACAGCCCCCGCAGACTGTAGTACAGGTGCTTGCAGTGAAAACCACGCAGCAGCTCCCTAAACTGCAACAGGCTCCGAACCAACCAAAAATCTACGTGCAACCCCAAACCCCCCAGAGCCAAATGCCGCTCCCAGCCGCGTCAGAGAAACAGCCGGCAAGCCAGGTAACGGAATATTGGTAGCATGCAAAGCTAAACTTCTCTGTTCATGGAAAAAATAAGAACATCATGACCCTGTCGTGATTAGCAGTGCTTTCTCCTGGCAAGAGGAAACTCAAAAGCCTCATTTATGCTGGTATTACTTTACCCCATCAGAAGGTTGATATTAGGGAAGAAATGCACGCATTAATAATAGGAAGAAAAAAAAAAGCATAGCATGCAGAACTTGATTTTCCAGACAGTTAATGAAGTCACTTCAGCATTGGTCAGCAGTGCATGGAAGCGAGATCCCTAAATTATTTGTATTTTTTAGGTATAAAATAATTTTTTTTTCCGTGCCTATAAACTCATATCTGTGGCAGTAAAGCTAAGTAAACTACAGTTTTTTAAGAAGCTTCATTGAACATCTTCCCTTGTAGTTTACATCATTATCATCTAGTTAATAAATTTACCTTCTAGATTTATCTTCTAGATTACAGAGGAATTATCTGGATAATCAAAAGAAAAATTATATTAAGGAAAACCAGTGGCTTTAGAGTGATGTATATGTGTGTATGTGTGTATTATATAGAGAATATATTTGTATAGGTGTATTGAAGCAAAAAATTGAAAATCCTACTTTTTATTTTTAAAAACTGAAGAAGATGCAAATAATTTGAGAATGGGTTGAAGGTATACTGTGTGGGGATATAAATCCCAAAGGAAAACAAGGCGGCTGTGACTTTTTTTTTTCCTTTATTGCTGTGAACCTTGGCTGGCTAGACGAAGGTTCTTTTTATCCCTCCTCATTCCCTAGGTTTCTTAAAAATAACCACATACTTTTCCATCCAGCCCTCTTTTAAAACACCAAGCTTCATTCAGAATGTCTTCCTAGTATACTGCACGAATGTTTCTTTTGCCATATTATCTGGGGTGTTGGATAGGTTTTCTCAAAGAGATGTAGCTGTAACACACACAACCCCAATTTGTTTTCAGGTGGAGCAGCCAATTATAACCCAAGGATCCTCTGTTACAAAGATAACTTTTGAGGGGCGCCAGCCTCCCACAGTTACAAAGATAACTGGTGGCAGTTCTGTGCCTAAGCTGACATCACCAGTTACAAGCATATCTCCCATTCAGGCCTCTGAGAAGACAGCAGTGTCAGACATTTTGAAAATGTCTTTGATGGAAGCTCAGATTGATACAAATGTAGACCATATGGTAGTGGATCCCCCAAAGAAGGTTCTTGCCACTGGTATGCTCACTGGTGAAGCAGGATCATTACCGTCCACCCATGTGGTGGTGGCAGGGATGGCGAATTCCACTCCCCAGCAACAGAAATGTAGAGAGTCCTGTTCAAGTCCATCTGCTGTTGGCCCTCCCTTAACGACAAGGAAAATCGATGCACCAGGAGTGCCTACGACAGGCCAGTTCATGCGTATTCAGAATGTAGGCCAAAAGAAAGCTGAAGAGAGCCCAGCAGAAATTATCATCCAGGTAAGAATTGGAAGGAACATGAGAAGTATTGGGCATCTTGGGGGTTGTGGGTTTGCTGTGATTGGGGCTGTCACAGGAAGAGTCATGCCAAGATGGCAAAAGACATAGCAATTATTTTTGAGATGGCATTTGAAAAATTGGGGTTTAATACCTATTATAAATATACAAATTTTTATTTTCTGGAAGAGAATTCTAGAAAATTGGTGGATGTTATCACACCCCCTCTTAAAGGTAGTCAAGGGCCCTGAGCCCATATGTCAGCTTGATTTGTAGATACAAGACATGCTTGCCAGGGTTAACTCAGTAAGTCAACACAGAAAATCAGCAACTTGATGGGGTCAGTCTCCCCGGTCTTTGCTCAAAAACTCCTGGGATATAACTGGATTGCACTTTTATTTCAAGTCAATTTCAGGGACCCTTTCCTTGGAAATACATAGCTCTTTATCTTGATCTAAGTTTATGGTTTTCAGGACAGTTAAACCTTAATTAACTGCAGTTGTCTGGAGAAACATGTTGTAAGAAAATGTTTCTACATAATTTAATTTTATATTTAATTTGGGATTAACCATAAAGATTTGCTTTTTATTTCAATCATTGTTGAAAAATCTTGTTATGGTTACTGTCCTGCCTTGGTAAGTACAGGCTAGTGAACATAATGAATTATTCATTGGCAGTAGATCTTCTGTGCTTCACATTCCCTTCATTTTGAAACTCATCTGTCATCATGCATAATAGATCAAGACTAAAGAATTACTGAGTCCAGACTAGCCTTTAGAAGTTGTATTTTACTTCCCTTTCTCCTTGCAGGGTTTCAGATTGTTTTCTTGTCACTTGTCATTTTTTTGGCTACACTCATAAGATGGCTTGGAAGGTTATCAGAACAACACATTTTATTTAATGGAGAATTTGGATTCATTGAAATGTGGATAATCTAGGATTTACCATAGATTCATTGTTGTGTGACTTGGAAGTTTCTATGGTAAACTTTCCCTTTTCCATGATGCCAGGCTATAAGAGAATACAAATTGACCAATATTATATTTATTAATATAAATAAGTATGGGGAAAATGCTTAAAGGCAAATAGAACTGGCCATTGAATTATTAAATGATTTCTTCCTCTGTAAAAACAGTTGTTAGCAAATTAAGTCATTCTTGACAGGGGGAGTCATTGGTGTGTCGCTCCCCCCACCCCACCCCCTAAAAAAGGTGGAAAAAGACTTTGAGTTCCTAGCTTTGCCACTCATTGTATGACTTTAGGCAGGGCTCTTTTACCCCATTCTTCGTTAGTTTCCTCATCAGTAAAAATGGGAATAAGGAATGCCTATTTTACATGATTAATGGGAAGATTGTATAAATTGAGATGAAGCACCTAGCACAGTACCTGGCTCTTGGTGATTGCCCAATAAATGGTAGCTGTTAACTATTTTACTAAAATTTACTGTGGCTCCTAAGAGTTTAAATTGGTATGCCAACTATATTGGAAATAATTTGGGATAGCTTATTTGGAAATTATTTTCTGTATTTTATGAACAGGGCTGAAAATTGCTTTGTGTATCAAGGATAGTATCTAATGAGTTGGCTCTCTACAGAACACACAACTAACTTTCAGTGTATATATACCATGTGCTAGGTGGCCACATCAGAGGAAAGGACAGTGTGGTCATTAGGAACCAAGCTTTTGGAGTCAGAAACACCTGGGTTTGAGTCTCAGCTGTGCTCCTTCTTACCAGCATTGTGGTTTGGAGCAACAGAGTTCACCTCTGTACCTCCATTTCATTCCCTGTGAAATGAAGAGCCTAACAGTTGCTCACAAGGTTGTTTTGAGGATTTCATGGGAAACTGTATGGAATATAGCTAGTTAAGTGTCTGATACAAAGGAACACTCAATAACTATAGCTCCTGTTACTATAATCATCACGAATATATTGTTGGGATATTTTCAGATCTTCCTAGATATACTTAGCTTTGACTGGAAGTACTGATTTTATGGATTCAGTAAAATAGTGTGGGGATGAATGAAAGAAGTCTACAGAAGTGCTTTGATTCCTTGAAAAATGTTTTATAAGAATTCAACATGTTTAATAATAAATACTTTGAATGAAAGCATTGTTCTTTGTAGACACTGTATTTCATTCATTTGTTCGTTCATTCATTCATTCATACCACATGTATTATTTAGCCTCTGTGTTCTAGGTGCTGTGCTAGGTGCAGGCTAGAGGAGTAAACAAAACAAATATATCTTCTATTCTGAAGGAGTCTATATATGTGGAACTCATAGTTTTAGAACCTTAGATATACTCTAAAGATCTTTAGAGTATATCTTACTGCACAAGATTAAAGCTCAGTGAGGTGAAGTGACTTGTTCAGAGGTCCATAGCACATCTGAGCCAGAATTGAACTAGAATTCAGGTCTCCTGACCCCACCTCAGACTTCTTCACAGTGACCAGCTATATGGACCAGAGTGGGGGAAAACAAGTGGCAGAAGACTCCACTAATCTAGATTGAGTGCCTTGGCATCTTGAAATATTTTCTTTATAGTGTTAAAATTATATTTATATCCCTCTCCCCATCAGTTCCCACCCTGGCAGTAGAAGACTGTTTTGGTCAGGTGTATTTCCTGATACTCAGTTTTGCCCCGGGACTTTGAATGATAAAGACAGGTCAATTCATTTGGCAGGTGTTTATTGAGCAACTAAGGCATGACAGGCCCTGTTCAGAGCTCTGGGCGTCTAGCAATGAAAAAAAGTAGTCAAGGTCTGTGCTCTAATACATACTCTCATGGAGCTTACATTCTAAGAGTGAGAAAAAAGTTTAACAAAAATGATAAATGCAGTGAAGAAAAAAACAACGTAATAGAGGTGGGAGTGGGACCTACCCAGTGATCTGGTTCAATGGTCATAGAAGGAAAGCTTCTCAAAATGTTTTACTCTAAGCATTTGAGCTAAGATGCAGATGACAGGATGGAACCAGCCATGCAGAGATTCAGAGAAAAAGTATTCCAGGAAGAGGGGAGGAACCTAGTGCAAAGGTCCAAGGTATGAGTGTGTTTGGCATAAGCCTAGAGTCGTGACAAAAAGTTTGATTTTATAGCAATTACGGTAGGAAACCGTTGTAGAACTTTAAGCAGAGGTATGATGTGAACTGATAGACCTGATAAGGATGAGAAATAAGAACCTGACAAGGCAATATGGCCATAACATGTGTTGGTCTACTCATATTTTAAAAGACAGTTTTGTCCTCTTAGGAAAGAGAATTAGTATGTCACCCAAATAAATAACTTCCCCTTTGAACTACCAAAGGGTTACTGAAGGTTACTGAAGGGTTTAAAATATATTGTGGTGTCAGCAAATTAATCATATACCTTGCAGATAATAATGAGTGAAATCTGACTGCATTTACATTTAAAATTTGCTTAATGATCAAATGAAAATGTCCTTTAAAGTCTCTCTCTTGAATTAGGCACAGACTTCAGCCCCCTTTACTGGAGGAGATGCCATCAGGAAGTGAAAAGATCACTTTAAGTTGTTAGAAGACTTGAGCTTGAATCCTGGCACTTTAACTTTGACCAACTGTGTGACCTTGATTAAGTCACTTACCCTCTTAGTTTCCTCATTTGTAAAATGGGAGTAACATTTTTCTTACAGTGTTGTATGGGGATTTAGTAGAGTATCATGTGTGAAAGCACCTAGCACAGTGCCTGGCGTGTAGTAGTTGTCCAATAAATGTCAGTTTCCTTGTTTCCTTCCTTAGTGTTGGGGAAATCCTCCTGTTTCTTCTTTTTACCATAAAGCCTGTCTCCTGTGTCTTCTCTTCCAGGCTATTCCCCAGTATGCTATTCCTTGTCACTCCAGTTCCAACGTGGTTGTAGAGCCCAGTGGGCTTCTTGAGCTAAACAACTTCACTAGCCAGCAGTTGGATGACGATGAGACGGCAATGGAGCAAGACATAGACAGTAGCACAGAGGATGGAACCGAGCCCAGCCCCTCTCAGAGTTCTGCTGAACGGTCCTAAGTTTTTGGAAACAGGCGTGCACTTTAAAACCTACTTGGTTACCAAGTGTCCAGGGAAGCCCTTGATTTTTGATGTCTAAAGAGAGCACTTTGCCCATGCTTATTAGGCTATGGACCCCCAAATCACAGTGTTTCAACAAGAGTTGCTGCAGGAGCAGCATTTTAAAACAAGATAAAACTCACAGGGGAATGTACTTTTTTAAAATAAAAAAAAAAAGAAAAAAAAGGAAAACTAAAAAAAAAGAAAAACATGCACATCTGCAGTGACAAAAGACCTGATATTCTTTCTCTGTTGGACCACAGCTGATGGAAAAGTATGTCATGCAGTGGAAAGAGACTTTTCCTGTGAATGTTCCTCAACTGGTTTCTGCTGAGCAAAACACCATCAGAAAAGGAGAATGTGAATAGTTTGTATTTTGAAACGGTGTGTCAGGAACAGTTTTTTAAAAACCTTGTATGTTTTTGAAAATCTCTGGAAGTGTTGAATTGGTTAAAATTTTACAATTTGCTCAGTTTATAGTTTATAAAATAACTAGAAAAATACTGGCATTAAAGAATCCTTGTTAGATGGTGGAAATCAGATCCCTAACCAGTGGGAAGTGCTTTTTGGGTGGCTTGTACATTCTCATCAATTGTATGCTAATTTATTGTGTTGTTGTTCCTGTGCTCTAGGCAGTGCACTTGCCTTCTATTTATTTAAATGTAAACATTTCAAAGCAGGCCGTATTCTTTCTGACAGATTTCCTGTAAACCGGGATTGCCTGCCTTTTCCACCTCCCACCCCTCCCGCTCCTTTAAGAAAAGAGAAAATGTTTCATTGTGAAGGAGAGGAAAAGAAACATTTTCTAGCCTAAAGGAAATGTTCTGCTATGTTAAGGAAAAATTATCCATATGATGCTCTCTTAACATTGAAATTGCACATTCATATTGGACTGAGACTTTGAAGATAACTTTTACATACTTTTGTTTAAACCCCTTTGAAATGTATAAAAATTAATTTGCAGTTCTAAATGTAATGTTTTTAAGCATTCTGCCTTTTTAGGACACAGTTTGTTTAAGCAATATGTTTGGGTCTTGTGATCACTGTCTGTCACAAGTAGAGTGAGGGGTAAGGGTGGGAGGGTAACAGTCAGTTTTGACAAGTTGTGGCAAAGGAAGCAATTCTTTTCATTTTTAAAAAAATGTAAATAGAAAAGTTTTTAACGGTTTTATATAGATTTCACTATAAATAAGCATTTTAAGACTGACACATGTTGAACTGTACATACATATCTCAGCATAACTGCCCAATTTTTGGTGCTGAAGTACTGTAAGTAGATTTCATCAACAGTCTCCTAATTTTTGCATCTATATCTAGAAAAAGAAACTGTGATACTGTAGTTAATAAATTCCCACTAGAGTGACACTGAAGATTTAAACACAAGCATTTATAAGATGCACTGACCTCTGGTAGTCGCCATCATTTCTCCTGAGTGGTTAACGACTTACCCATAGATGGGGCTGTTGGATTTTATTTTATTGTACAAATTCATGTTTAAAAGACTTTGTGATTGTTTCTAGTTAAGTAACTTTTTAACCTCTCCAGTCCTAGGCTTCTTTGAAAATCTGATCACACTATGAACTCTCCCCAAAAAGACACACATGCCAATATACATGTTAGATTTTACATACAATCTTAGGGGTTTGTGGGTCCCTAAGCCTAACCATGTATTCAAGGTTAAGCCCTCTGTTATGGTCAGTCCACTACTTACAGATGTAAGTTTTTATAAAATAAAATATCTTTTAAATATTCATGGTTCAGGTAACAAGAGCAAACGTGAATAAAGTTATTATGTCTACTTCTACATATTCTGGCAGCATAGCATACCTGTGTCCCTTTGACAATTTAACCTTAATATGTTTTCAGCAACTGGAATAGCAGATGAAACTTCCATAAGCTTCACTTTTAAAAATTAGTGTGTATATACTAACAAATTATCAAGTGACGGATTTAACATTTTTTTTTCCTTCAAAGATATTACTTTCAAGGAGGCCATGAATTCTTTTGTTTATTCAACAAATATTATTTAAACATCATCTGTGTGTCGGGTACTGTTCTAAGCACCAGGGATTCCACAGTAAATAAACAGAAAATCCTACCCTTATGGAGTTTACAAACAGAGCTTCCTGCTGAAGAGTGGATGCCAGGGCCAAAGGAAGGAGGAAACTCAAGTGACCCTTAGGTTTCTTGCTTAAGTGAATGGATGGTGGTGCTGTATATGGGTCTCCAGGTATCCTTTTACTGAAAGTCTTAGCATTATTAAATGTAATTTTAAATCAGTCCTTGTGAAAGATATCCAGAGATTATGCTGCAAATATTACAGAATTATTAGAGTCCTAACAACTGTTACAGGCAGTGGTAAGAAAAATTCATTTGGTTTGAAGTAAACTTTGTAAAGGCTTTGTATTGCAGAATGCAGTTTATGCTGAACTTAGGGATCTTAAAAAAATGTTTTATTGAAATTAATTCACATGCCATACAATTCACCCATTTAAAGTGTACAGTTCAGTGGTTTTCACTGTATTTACTGAGTTGGGCAGCCATCACTACAGCCAGTTTTAGAACATTTGCATAACCCTAAAAAGAAACCCTGTACCCCTTAGCTGTTACCCCTGAAACTCACCCTACCACTCCAGCTCTAGGCAACCACTAAACTACTTTCTGTCTCTATGGACTTGCCTATTCTGGACATTTCATATAAATGGAATCATACAATATGTGGTCTTCCGTGACTGGCTTCTTTCATTTGGCATAGTATTTTCAAGATTGTAACACGTTTCAGTCCTTCAGTCCTTTTTATGGCTCAGTAATATTCCACCGCATGGATAAACCACATGTTATTTATCCATTCATTGGTTGATGGACGTTGGGGTTTCTACTTTTGGCTTTTATGAATAATGCTGCCGTGAACATTTGTGTACAGTTTTTACATGTTTTCTGTTCTCTTTGGTACATTTCTAGGAGTGTAATTGCTAGGTCCTACAGTAACTGTGTTTAATGATTTGAGAAACTATCAAACTTGTCTACAGTGACTGCACAGTTTACAGCAGTATAGGACAGTTTGACCTTTTCTACATCTTCACCAATGCTTGCTATATTTGTTTTTAGTTTTCATTATTTTTCAAAATTATATCCATCTTAGAGTGTGAAGTGGTACCTCATTATGGTTCTGATTGACATTTCCCTGATGGCTAATGATAATCTTTTCATCTGCTTGTTGGCCATTCACAGATCTTTGGAGAAATGTCCTTTGCCCATTTTCAAATTGAATGATTTTCTATTTTATTATTTAAATTGAGAACTTTTCGAAGTACAGGCAATAATACCACTCTTAAAAGAAAAGTAACCTGTTCTCTAGTCATTAATTCATCACCCTTAAAACCTTAATCATGTTTTACTTCCTCTCTAATGTAACAAATTGCTTAACATTCTTAAAACTGTGTAGAGCTAATTGAAAACGTTTTTAAATACATTTCTTTGTGAGGTTCTCTCAATGACCTGCTTGGATGGGAGACATAGTACAAAGGAAATAGTACCCAAGTGGTCGGATTTGAGTCCCAGGCTCCTGTGTTAATGAATCATATGAACTTGAGCAGGTCCCATTCCCGGTAATACAAAGTGTGAGTTTCTGACCCATTTGGGGTTATCGTAAAGAATGCATGAAATAGTGCATGTAAAAATGCCAGGTACAGAGGTGCTCTATTTTTTAAGTCTAATAGTTATTAACAGTCCCACTTTATAAATAGAAAATGAGGGCTCAGAGACAAATGAAGTACCAAAACACATAGATTATATGCTAATAGGCATCATGCTGATCCCCAAGTTGATACTTTCTATATAGGAGTGTATGTGTGCCACCAAACACAGAACTGGCCTTTGGAAAGACAGGGGAACTTGATGTTGGCCTTTAACTTAATCTCTTTGTCAGTCTTGGGTGCCTTCACACAGAGGTGCTCACACACAAGTTTGTTTTTTGAGTTCAATTACATGTCACAAATCCCAGATAAGAGGAAGTAGAGTGAAAAAGCACCATGTAAGCAAGGCCTTTCCAAGAAGAGTGAGAAAACAGTCTGCTGCCTCTGCTTACAGGTGTATAAGCCTTTAAGTGAGGCCTATGACCTATATATTGAAAAAAGGGTTGAAACACCATAGAATCAGATTTGTACTTGTGAGAAGTCTTGCTCTGCTTTCTTACCTCTTCCTTGCTTACACAGACTGTAACTGAAAACAGGGCACTTAAGGAAAAAAAGGAGCCTAGGTTTGAATCCTGACAAGCCATGTAGCTGGACAAGCTGAGAGGCTTCAGTTAGCACAAGATGGAATGAATGGTTTATACTATGTCACCTAATACCCATTTTTAAATGTCCTTTTTCTTTTCCTTCCAACAAATAGTTACTGGGCATTTCTTATGTGCAGACGTTGGGGATATAATAGCCAGGGAAAGACACCCCTACCCTCTTGGAACTTGAGCCTTTATCTCCTTTAGGAGATACATGAATCAAAGATTACAGCTAAATATATTCATTGCTAGGTGCTATGGTGGAAAATAAGTAGTGCTAGGATAGTGTGTAAATACGGAGGTTGGGGAGTTTTGCTCAGAAAGGGATTCTTAAAGTGATTTGAAGGAAGGGATTTAACTAGGCAAGAAGGATGTGGTGGGGGGGCAGAAGGATAGCAGCTATGAAAGGCCTGTGGTCGGAGGGGATTGGGGAGACTTTGAGTAGGCTAATGTGACAGCAACGCAGCAAGTGAAGGCAGCAAGCGTGGGAGCAGAAAGTAGAGACAGACCTATATGTGGATCTTACAGGTTATGATAAAGGTTTGAGGTTTTATTCTTAGAACAAGAAGTCACTGAAAAGTTTTAAGCCATTGACCCTGGCAAAATGAATTAATATATGTACAAAATATTTGGAGTTATGTTGGTTTATTAGTACAGAAAAATATATTTAACTTTTCTTTTTTTAATGCCAGTCTCATCTCCTTATGTCTGGCATTCAAGGTTCTTAGCCAGAGCTGCAGTCTACATCTGTAGATTCATAACCCATTTCACTACCCCGACCTACTACCTGTCTCCCCCATCACACATACAGTTTATGCTCTGTATTTGAAAGGCTCACTCATTTCCCAAAGCCCTGCTTAAAAACCACATCCTTCACCAAGACTGCCCAGATGTGTTGAAGGGGAACTTAATCTCACCCCACTGCTGAGTTCCCCTAGCATTTGGGGAGAAATACACATTTACTTAGCACTTACCATTGCTTCTTTACTGTGAATTAGTTGCAATTTCTCACAGAATGCCTCTGGGAGAGTCCTTGAAATGCAGTATTCTAAGGAGTCATTCTAAATTCTTTTAGCTTAAGTAAGAGGTGCTGAGCTTTCTGGATTTTTTTTTTAATTTATTTTTTATTTATTCATTTTTGTCTCTGATGCCCTTGAATATCAAGGCTTACTATTCAAGTTTGTTAGAAAGAGTTTAGTGAGATCGTTGGTAATCTTAAGATTCATTCGTTCAAGTCAGTAGCATCCTGTTTGGTTCTCCACAGGATCAACTGCTATTTCCTTGCATGACAGCGTTCACCAGGGTCTATCATCTATGCTATCACTTTGACCTCTACCATATATGGATTAATTAATTAAATCACTGAATAAATATTGAGCAGTTATTGTGACCCAGACACTATTCTAGCCACTAGGGATATAGCAGTGAACAAAATAGTCGAAAAATAAAACAATCTGTGTTATGTAGCTTACATTCTAAATGGGCTATAAGTGTAAATTAGAAATAAATGGTATGATAATTAGAACAAGCAAAGTGGGAAAGGGGAATATAAAATTCTAGGATCTGTAGGTGTTAAATCTTAGATGGAATAGACAGGGAAGTTCTCACTGAGAAGGTAAATTGGAAAAAACCTGCAGGACATGAGGAAGTCAGCTGGACTGATGTCTACAGAAAGAGTGTTCAACGTGGAGGGGACAGCAAGTACAAAGGCCCTGAGATCGTGCCTGGCATATTCAAAGAACAGCCAAAAACAAACAAAAAAAGACCAGATAGGGTCAGAGTGAATGGGGATGGAGGGAGTTATGTGTTCTCTCTTTTTTTCTTTGTCATTACCTAAAGGGTTGTCAAGTTGGATGATCTTTTCCAAGAACTGACTTTTTGTTTCTTTGATTCTTTTGTTTTTCTATTCTCTATTTCATTTATCTCCATTCTATTCTTTTTATTATTTTCTTGCTTTTGCTAGCTTTGGGCTTTGTTTTGTCTTTCCCCCTTTTTCTAGTTCCTCAAGGTGTAAAGTTAAGTTATTGATTTGAGATCTTTCCTTTTTTGATGTAGGCATACACAGCTGTAAATTTCTCTCTGAGCACTGTTTGTGCTGCATTCTATAAATTTTGGTATGTTGTGGGTTTTTTTTTTTTTCACTCATCTCAAGGTATTTTCTAGTTCCTCTTATGATTTCTTCAATCACTGGTTGTTTAAGAGTTTAATTTCCACGTATTTGTGAAATGTGCAGTTTTCCTTCTGTTACTGATTTCTACCTCTATTCCACTGTGGATGTTCTATCCATGATTGAAAGTGGTGTACTGAAGTCTCCAGAAGTCTCCATTAGTGTGAGCTGTCTATTTCTCCCTTCAGTTCTGTTAATATTTGGCTCATATATTTTGGAGCTCTGTTTGGTACGTGTATGTTTATAATTGTTATTTCTTGGTGAATCAAACCCTTTATCAGTATATAGTTCTTCTTTGTGTCTTGTAACAGTTTTTAGTTAAAGTCTATTCTGTCTCATATTAGTATAGTCACCTCAGCTCTCTTTTAGTTATCATTTGCATGGAATATATTTTTCTATCCTTTAACTTAGAGCCTATTTATGTCTGTGTTGAAAGCCAGTCTCTTATGGACAGCATATTGGATCATTTTTAATCTAATCTGCCAGTCTTGACTGTTGATGGGAGAGTTTAATCCATTTATTTTTAATGTAATTAGGAACAAAGAAGGATTTACTTATGCCATTTAATATTTGTTTGCCATGTCTAATACTTTTTAAAATTCCCTATTTCCCATGGCCTTCTTTTATGTTTAATTGATTTTTTTTTTTTGTATTGAGATGTTTTTATTTCCTTCTCATTTCCTTTGTGTGAATTTTTAGTTATTTAGATATTTCCTTTGTGGTTACAAAGGGGATTACATTTAATATCCTTAATTTATACCTAGTTTGAATTGATACCAATTTTATTTTAGTAGCATACAAAACTTTGCCCTTCTATAGCTTCATTCCCCCCTTTATGTTGTTACCATCACAAATTACATTTTTATACGTTGTGTGTCCAATAACAGATTTATAATTATTTTTATGCATTTGTCTTTTCAATTATGTAGGAAATAAAAAGTGGAATTACAAAACAAAACTGCAATAATATTGGCTCTTATATTTTCCCGTGTAGGTACCTTTACTGGAGGACTTTATTTCTTCATATGGCATCAACTTATTGTCAAGTGGCCTTTTGTTTCCATCTGAAGGACTCCTTTTATTTTACTTATTTATTAAACATGGGACTTGAACTCGGGATCCTGAGATCAAGACCTGAGCTGAGATCAGAAGTCAGATGCTCAACTGACTGAGCCACCCAGAAGCCCTTGAAGGACTCCTTTTAGTATTTCTTTATGGGAAGATCTAGTGGTAATGAGCTCCCTGAGCTTTTGTTTATCTGAGAATGTCTAATTTTTCCCTCATTTTTGAATGACAGTTTTACTGGATATTGAATTCTTGATTGACAGGTTTTATTTTTTTTCTTCCAGCACTTTGTGTCATCTCACTGCCTTCCTAGGCTTCATGGTTTCTGGTGAGAAATCGGCTGTTTACCTTACTGAGGAGACCTTGTACCTGACAAGTTGCTGCCCTCTTGTTTCTTTCCACATCTTTTTGTCTTTTGACAGTTTGACTCTGACATGTCTTAGTATAGCTGTGTAAGTTTATCCTACTTGGAGTTCATTCAACTTCTTGAATGTGTAGATTCATGTCTTCCATCAAACTTGGTAAATTTTCGATTGTTTCTTCAAATATTCTTTCTGCCCCTTTCTCTCTTTCTCCCATGATACATATATTGAGCCTTTTGATAGTATCCCACAGGTCTCATAGCTCCTTTTAGTCCCCCCCCCCGCCCCATTTCTGTTCCTGGATAATTCTGTAACTGGATAATTTCAGTTGTCCTATCTTCAAGTTCACTCATTCTGTCTTCTGCATGCTCAAATTTTCTAGAAGTTGAACCCCCTCTAGTAAAGTTTTGTTTTAATTCATTTACCAACATCTCCCCATTTCTGCAGCCCTTGGCAGCCACCATTCTACACTGTTCTGTGAGTTTGACTTTTTAAGATTTCACATATAAGTGGTATCATGAAGTATTTGTCTTCTGTTTCTAACTTATTTCACTTAGCACAATGTCCTCCATGTTCATCCATTTGTTGCAAATGATAGGATTTTCTTTTTTAAGGTTGAACAATATTCCACACACACACACACACACACTGTATTTACTTCATTCGTTCACTAATGGACACTTAGGTTGTCGCCATTGTGAATAATGCTGCAGTGTTATTGGAGTACAGATAGCTCTTTGAGATACTGATTTCATTTCCTATGAATATATATCCAGAAGTGGTATTTTTGGATCACATGGTAACTTAATTTTTTTGAGGAACCTCTATAGTGTTTTCCATGGAGTTTTCATTTCAATAATCATACATTTATGTCCAGAATTTCCATTTGGTTCCTTTGATAATTTCTCTTTATCGAAATTCTTATTTTGTTCTCAAATCACTTTCTGTATTTCCTTTAGTTCTTCATCTTTGGCTCTTTGAACACATTTAAGACAGTTATTTTAAAGTCTTTGTATAATAAGTCCAGTGTCTGGGTTTTCTTGAGAACTGTGTCAGTCAAGTAATTTTGTTCCTTTGAATAGGTTGTATTTTTCTGTTTATGGGTATACTTCGTGATTTTTTGTTGTTGAAAAGTGAACATTTGAATATTGTGGTGTGGTAACTAGAAATCAGAGTTTCCCTTTCCCCCCAGGGTTTTTCTTTCTTTCTTTCTTTCTTTCTTTCTTTTTTTTTTTTTTTTTTGATTGTTAAAGACTATAGTGGCTCATTTGTCTACTGACATCTTCCCCCACCCCAACCCGACACTGTATTCTTTTCATGTGTGGTCACTGAAGTTTCTGTTCCACAGCATGTGTTCGACTAGTGTTT